GAAAATAATTTGATGGTTGGGGGGTCACCACCACATGAACTGTATTAAAGGGCCGGGGCAGTAGGAAGGTTGAGAACCACTGACCTTGAGAACCCTGTAAGGAGCACATCTGGGGTCGTCATGGGTGGGGATTGACTTGATGGCATCTAATAAGATGTTACATAACAAGGCACGGTATCTGAACCTCAATCCTATGACGTTAGACATCGAGGTTTGATTCCCAACAGCCAGAGAGCCCGCACTTAGCACTGGTTCCACCATGATGATAAGGGTAACCTGGCTTCACCACCCCCTTTTGGCCCCTTCTCTGGGCAAGAGCAACCAGACAGAGCAAACAACCCAAGTTTAGTGAAAAACCCAAACCCACACTAAATCACCACACACAGAGAAAGAGGTCCTGTGAAGACCAAATTCTACCTATTGCTGTTCATGATTTTGTGGCAAGGGGTCCTTGACCAGATTTTCAAACAGGCCAGAATCCTATCTATAGCATGCTTGTAATTTGTTTGATCAAAACTACTAAAGGTAAATCAGGCTGTAATCCTTCCGTGAAGGCAATTCTGTCATGCAAGAACTCCTTTGTGAATTTGGCGCTAGCTAAGCAATGCTGAGCTTTGGAGCCAGCTGTTCCCCATCTGGCTCTCTTAGCTGGCTGCACCGATGCTGATGTTTTGCTCTCATACCCCCAGAACTGGTCCCACAGCACGTACGCTAACATTTGTCCAGGGATTCATGGCTTAGAAAACATTCACTATCTCATCTCATCCTTGCCCGAGTCTGGTAAGGTGTGCAGGCAGATGTAAAAAGAACATCTGGCAGGAGCAGCCGTGGTATATGAAAACAGGCAGGTGGCCTCGGAGCACTCTTAGGGCAGCACCTCAATTAGATCAGCACATTGGGCACACCACATTACGTCAGGATCCAAAGAGCAGCTTGACTCGCCACCTAACCTGTACGTGAGCCTGAGACAGTTACACAGCACCAAGGATATGAACTTAGGGTGATGGTCTCAGTTATCCAGTGCTGCTATATCAGAAATGTCCCAGTAGAGGGCTCTCCGTTTAGGAGGCTAGAAAGAAGTCTGAATTCAGGGCACCGGCCTTGGAGGTCTCCCCATGTCTTGTCATCATTCTCCTGAGTCTAGGACCCCGGGTCCAAACAGTGCATTCCACTTCTGGCTCTTCTTCCCTACTCTTCGCTCTGCTGTTCTCTCTAGTAAGATAGAGAAGAATTCAGGCCACAGCCCAAGGAAACTCCCTTACATCTGATCAGGGCCATGCAGAGTTAAGGATGTGGCGCCCTACTGTAAACCCCGCACAACTGATCACATAACGGAGACATATTTAGGGGGGACACAACTCAACCCAATGCAATAAGAACATTCCATCTGGGACTAGGATACCTTAGGAACGTATGCTCCATTCCATTCTCCCCATTGTCAACACGTAGTGCACCCCACCAACAGCACCTCCCTCGGCACAGTGGGCAAAGTGCTCTGCCGCCAACCAAAAAGTCGTGTTTGGAACCCACCAACCACTCCACGGGAGAACGATCAGGCAGAAGGATTTATAACCTGGCAAGCTCCTGGGCAGCTCTACTCTGCCCTTCGGGGTCACTGTGAGTCAGAATCAACGTGATGGCAGCCGGTTTGGTTTTTTGGATGATAGGAACACTGACTGAAGACCTACTTAGGTGGCTCTGTAAGTGTAGAATCAAACAAAAACCAGATCAACTATGTAGAACGCCAGACATGTTAACAGAATACATTGATCCATGGGTTTTGAGTATCAAGACTGCAGGTTGTAATCACCGCCGAAAAGCCAGAATGCGAGAAGCCTGAAGGTTACGAGGCTCTTGTCCCCAAAGCAGTGCTTGGAATGGATGCTGACAATGTTCATCCTATAGCCCTTTTGACCAACAAGATGAGCTGATGACCTGTCCTTGGTCTCCTTACCCAATCAAGTAAGTGATCACAAGTACGGGGGTGACCCCCCCCAAAACAGCAAAAAGCCCCGCCAGGCGAAAGCTTTCAGAGAACGCATGTTTCCTGCTAGGTGAGCATCGAGCGACTTACTCTGGGTCAGTGCACCCAGTGGCAGTGGTGTCGCGTGGGAAGGTTCTCTCTGGTCACAGTGAGTTTTTTCATGAAAGCTATTTTGTTCAACCTCGTTTGGTGATTTAAGAGCCATCACAGGCTCTTTTGTGTTCTGCTCAGGAAAAATGCCGCAGAAACTGCTGTGATGTTCAACACAGTCTACAAGGACAGCACTATGGGAAAAACTCAAGTGTATGAGTGGTTTTCTCATTTCAGAAAAAGATGAAATGTTGATTGATGACAAACTTCATTCTGGACGTCCATTAACTTCCTGAATGGACAAAAATGTTAAATGGTGGTGCGTTTGGAGTTCGTTCCACCAGGTCAGACGGTTAATCAAACTTTCTATGTAAATGATCTGAAAAGATAGTGTAACCGTGTATGACAAAAAAGGCCAGATTTGTGGCAGGTGGGGGACTGGCTTTACCACCACAATGCACCTGCTTACAGTCATCTCAGTGTGCCAGTTTTGGGCAAAAAAACAGCATGCCTCTCTTGCCCCACACACCTGACTCACATGGCTGTGCTCCGTGACTTCTTTTTGTTTCCGAGACTGCAGAGGGACATGAAAGGATAGCAATTTGATAAAGTAGAAGATGTGAAGAAAAAAACAAGGGAGATGCTGTCAGCCATCCAAACAGATGAGTTTGGAAAACGTTCCCATGAGTGGGATCACACGTATTTGACACATGTATTAACTGTGATGGAGAGTACTTTGAAGGAGATAAGGTTGTTTTGTAAAAAAGTTTAAATACATAGGATTGAAAAAAGAAATTCCACTGTTGTTGGTTTTTTGGGGTTTCTCATTGGATTCCTGGTGGAGCCTATGCGATACAGGCTAGGGTACGGAGGGACTCTGATGAGTCTAACACCAGGCAGCCAGCAAATGGCAGAGGGCTGTAGATTCTTGCTAGCCTGGAGTCACCGCTTCTCCAGCAACCCCCTCTTTGTCTTGACCTGTTGATCATACAGCGTAACTCCCATAAAAGTAATCTGCTCATCATCACTTCCTGGGTTTAGTCAAACTTCACTGTACCTGTGGCGTTCTAAAAACAATGGCTGCCTTACAGATGGAGAAACCAAAGGACCGAGGCGCTGGTGGTTCCTTCAGGGTTGTACCCAGCTCAGGTGAACCTGGTGCTAGAGTTCAGCCTTGGTCTTAGAACAGAACTCTGCCCACCAGGCCACACTGCCCTAAGGCCTTTTACACCTTGTCCTTTGAGAACCCTTCTGCTCAAACGCGCTTTAGTGTCTTAGCCAGAATTGTGACGAGGTCAACACTGGGTAGGAAACTATTTGTCTAGAAATAACTATGAGTCTTTTTAGCATAAATTAGCAACTAGCACTTTAGAGAAGAAAATTGGAAGGAAGCCAGAATAGTTTCAGATGTATACAACTCCCAGCATTCGTATTTGGATAGTGTAGTAACTGCTCAAGAACCTGAACAATCGTAGTTTTAGGGGAAAAGGTGTTTCTGTCTCGCTGATGTCACAGCTGAATGTAGGTGGGTGGGGTGAGAAGGGAGGCATACCTGGGGCAGGCTTTGTTCCAGGCAGTCATTCAGGGATTGCTGAACTGCCCAAAGCCCCACGTACGGGACGGAGGGCCGAGATGAAAGCCTTTGTTGCGATGGCGATGCCGTTACCGTTCCCTAGGGCCTGTGCTCCTCCCTCGGTTCCCCCAGTGTAGAACCTACATCCAGCAGGACGGAGGCCGAAGGAAGAAACGGCACGAAGGAGAAGTTTTGGAGGACACCATAGAAATGATTGTCATTACTTTTCTCCAGACTTTATTAACACCAAACTAGAGAAAAACAGAACAAACTCACTGCCGTCGAGCCAACCTATTGGACGGGCAGAGCGGCCCCTGTGAGGCCCTGAGACTAACTCTGTAAGGGAGTAAAAAGCCGCATCTTCCTCCTGCGGAGGGGCTGGGGGTTTCGAACGGCTGACCTTGTGGTCAGGAGCGTGACACGTAACCACAATGCCACCAGGGCTCCTAGTAACAACTAAGGCCCAATATACATTCAGTGAAGACTGGGAAATACGATCTCTCTGGGTGCCCAGGAGAAAAGGAAACGGTGTTTAAGGAACATACAGCACTGACCCTGTCATGTTGGTAAACAGACATTTATTAGAGCTCACTGATAACACAAGCCCGGGAGAAGGTGATGATGTTCAGTGCTACAAACAGCCAATGGCATAACGGTATGAATCCTAAATGATAGTGATATTAAAATGTAACAACTGGAAAATGGATAAAAGTCTAAATCGTGAGTGATACAATGATTTAAATCTAAAGGCACATGGTGAAGCAAACACTGAGTGACATTAATACTCAATGGCACAGATACCGACCATCGGCTATGTATCAGACCCCTCTGTGATCTGCAGTGATCTGAGACCACCTCAGAGGAAAGGCTGCAGGAGCCCACTCTCTGCCCGGCCCACAGGCGTAGTTCTTTGGCAAGAAGAGATGAGAGCAGAATGGAGATTGTGCTGGAAAGGGGCCCGACGCTGGTTCTCCTCTTAGCTGATGAGACACGCCAGGACGGGCCTTTTGAGCTGGGGCCACAGCTTACGTGCAACTCTGCCAGACTTGGTTTAGAAAGTAGCTCACTCCAAAGGGGTTTCTTTCATCTGCTTGCCACTTGCTAATTAACCCACAAGCTGGCAGACCCTGAGTTCCAGGGGCGAGGTCAGGCTGTTCTGCGGAGGGCATCAGTGCAGCAGGGTGCCAAGCCGAGAGCTGCAGGGCCGCCGTTAGGTTGTTAGCCCCTCACCCTAATACAACCAATGGGGGCATGCCTCTGCGCCCCAGAAGCAGGTGGCTAGATGCCGAAGAGGACTTTGAGGTCAGCCAAAGTGAGCTTGGTGATGGATTCTCCAGATCCGGCTAGGACCTGCCTGGCTAGGTTCTTCTTCTTTTCTTGGAGCTGCAGTATCTTCTCCTCCACTGTCCTCTCACACACAAACCTGCGTGATGAACAAACACGCTGAAAACCCCAAGGCAGTGTGTCTCACAGCAGTCAAACTCTTACCAGGCTTTCGCTCTGGTGGGATTTCTTCCTTTACCTGGATTTCCTTAGCGTCAGTCAACAGCCCTATGTTTAAGGGACCCAAACTGTTTTGACTAAATATATGTCCATTAAAAATGATAGGATTCAATTTGTCTTTCCAAAGCTAACAAAGAAAGAACAAAATAGTCAGAAGTTGGTCTTTATCCAAAGAGTACACCTACCTCCTCACTTACCAACCATCTCGTTATCTGACATTTTGCATTTATAATCATAGAAAAAAAATTATCTGACGATTCTGTGCGTGCATTACTTATGTACACTGGGAAGAAACACATTCTGAAGCGTGGGGTGAGGGCAACGTCCCTCGCAGTGATGGTTAAGGTTACAGCACTGAGGTCAAACCATGATTCTTAGTGGTTTGAGGCAGTTATATATTGATGCTGTTTGGATGATGATGTAGCCTGACAGTTATATAATGAAAGAGGGGAGAGGAGGAGAAACAGGAGGGGGAGGGAGAGGAAAAGGGAATTGAAGGTGAGGGAGAAAGAGTTATCTAGAGTAGTGAGATCAAGAGTTAATTAATTAGCTCTCAAAGTGCAGCTTTTTGGATAAGCCAGGTTTTCCCGTGGACTAGGAAGGGCATTCCGAAGCATGTGGACCACAGATGAGCTTCAGATCATGCTGTCCAGCTGTGCAGCAGGAAGAGTGGTCACAAGAAGACGATCATGTTCTACTATACTGGCAAGAGCTCAAGAGGCTGGCAGGGGATGGATCAGGAGTGGGTCTGGATGTCATGCTAAGACGGTGAGATTTTTATCCCATAAAAAGCCAGAGCTGCTGAGAAATTTGAGGCATGGGAAGGCAGATTTATTAGTTAAGAGAGCCCTCTGGTGGTGATGCCGAGAAGGGCAAGCGACTTGGTTCCCTAAGGAGCCAAGGTGGGAACGTTCTGTTGAGGATTTCTAGCCCTGGGGCTGGTGGAGGAGCCATAGTCCTGAGAGATCAGTAAACTGAAACTGAACGACTTCGTATGTGGGAAGTGAGACGGAGGGAGAAGTCTAGTTTCTGGCTATGTGATTCGATGAACCTTGATCCTAATCATAAACACAGAATCGAGAGAAATGGCAGATTTGAGGTGTTGACTGATCAAATTCAAGGCGTGACATTCAGGGTTCCTGGATTACACATGGGCTTGCTGCACAGTGGGTGCTCGGGCGGTGTTTGCAGAGTGGGTTTGACGAGAACCAATGGTGGATGAGCACGTGGACACTCATTCAGACAGCCAGCAGGGGTTAGGAGATCTTCGTCTGAAATGTTTGAAAATGTGAAAACAGATGCACATTTTGGACTTATGGGAGGGATAGAATGATTAAGGGGGGGGCCAACTGAGAAGAGGGCCACAGACAAAGGGCAAAAACCAACAGCACTGAACACCCTGCCGTCAAGTTGATTCCGACTCACAGTGTCCCTCCCTCTAAGGCAGGGTAGACCTGTCCCTGTGGGTCCCTAAGACTGACTTTTTACGGGAGCAGAACACGTTGGAGCAGCTGGCATTTTCAAACGGTGACTCAAAGCAGAACCACTACAGCCCCGACCCTAACATAAGCACTATACTTGGCAAATGTTGGAAGCTGTTGGTGTACCCTCACAAGAGGAATTCTCATTAAGCAAGTACAGGCAGACAGTGATTTCTAATGATTCAGGAAACAACCATGGGAAGAAAGGAGAAAAATATAGCAATGGCTAGAGGGAATTATAGCATTAAGGCCGGTTTTGTTTTTGAAACCAGCATTGTCCTAAATAGAACATTCTACACAATATCCAGCCTGTATTCTTCAAAGAAATCAATGTCATAAGGAAAACAAATGCAGACACCGGGCAGTGTAATATAAGATACAATAATAATTTATAAATTATCAAGGGTACATGGTGAGAGGGGAGGGGGAGGGGAAAAAAGGAAAATGAGCTGATTCCGGGAACCCAAGAGGAAAGCGAATTTTGGGAATAACGAGGGCAACAAATGTATAGATGTGCTTTACACAATTGATCTATGTATTGTGATGAATTGTATGAGCCTCAATAAATTGATTTACTTAAAAAAAAAAAAGAAAAACAAATGCACTGTTCCAGATATTAAAGGAGATGAATCATGAAAATAGGATGCTATAAAGAATTTAGCATTTTACTTTGCTATGAAGGACTACCATTGGGTAAATTGTAGAATAATTTCTACAGATAAGTTAACACCCCAATTTTGATATTACCGAGAAGAGTGTCTTTTTCCCAGTTCCTCTAAGATATAGCTTAAGATCATACTCAACCTTGTTCTTTGTTTGAAAGGAGCAACTACAAGGTTGGCCCCAAATTACTTTCTCTTCCATCCTGTGCCAAGGAGAGCATGCCTGTCAGTACGTCATTCGAACAGTGACCACCAGATACTTCACACTGTACTCAAATACTATTCAAGGCAGACATTGGGAGGCAGAAGTTGGGAAGGGTCCTGGGAGACCTTACCTGTGTACGACAACATCTTTCTGCTGTCCTACTCGGTAAATTCGGTCACAGGCCTGGTCTTCAAGTGAAGGATTCCTATTACAAGAGGGTAATGCTCAAAGGTTACTTGTATGGGAGACCATAGACCTAATCTAACTTGTATCTTGTCTTTGTAATGACTTTTCAGCTGAAAATGGTTAAGTTTTTCAAGTGACAGAGACCTACCTAGATTGCCTGAAAACCTGAAAGATTTACCAGCTGGCTGGAAATATTTATAGAAAATGTTTGCCAAACACTACACTGGCCTGAAAAAGGTTAGTGCCAAACACCTTCTATGAGACCTTTCAGGGGAAACCGGATTCAGGTTGCTAAAGGTAACTCTTAGCTCAGGTGTCACCTACTGCTTGTAAGTAACGTGGGTGACACCTACACCCAAATCCAGTCACCAAACAGCGGGGTGACCCTGGCAGGCCATCTACCGTCAACCCTTGAGGCTTCAGAGTCCTACTTGGAAAATGGCCACAGAACCTCAAATGCATTCCTCAGCTTTTCTCGTCTACGATGCAGCCAAGGAGACCCAATTTGTGACCTTCATCATAAAGTCTCATTATCAACTCCACACGCCTTTCCCGGTTTACCTCGGAAAAGTCCTAGATTCTCTTCCTCGGTTTCAGAAAATAGCTTGCTTCTCATCACACATTATTCTCAGTACGCTGTGCTCGCTCACACACCCAAGGGAGCCCCAAGAACGGAAACAGTCTCTCTAGAGGCGACGATGGGTTGGCCAGTTAGAACCAATCTGAGCTGCCTGGAGACTTAGGCTACTGGCAATCCCCAGCAACAGTGCCATCCTTGGTTGGCATGACTGGAAAACCAGACATCTAGCAACACACACACACACACACACACACACATATTCTTCTCATACCCAGGCACAATGCTGCCACGCTCCTGAGTTGATGGTGCAGTGAGTCGGACTCGAGGTGAAGTTCACTTCTAACATAATCAGAACATTGACTGGCCTTTTTCTTTACGAGTTAAGGCTTCCCCTTGGTCTCCAGGGTTGGCATTTTCTTGGATCTCAACAAGTATGTCTCTGATGTCATATTCCAGAGCAGAGGTAAAACTGAGAGATGTTAGCTCCTTGCTATGAGGGAAAGCTCTGCTTCTGGTTTCCATGGAAACAGATGTTAGATTCACCATGAAATGAGTGGGCTATTTTAAGTAGTCATTTGAAGTCTTGCTTGCTCAGGGACTCAGGGAAGTCAGCTAGCTCCACGCCCTGCTTGGATGTGTACTTAAGCACATACAGACATACGTGCATACAATAAGAACAGAGCACATTCACCCTAAGCACCTCCTACCGTCCCTGTGCCCCTGCTCTTCCTCCATGCCAGGAGAGCTCAAGAAAGGCGCACGGGACTTACCAGTGCATGTCAAGAAGAAAAAGATGGTTGCCTCCAGTCAAGTTCAGACCCACACCGCCAGCCAAGAGGGAGATTAGCATAACCTGTGAAAGGAAGCGCACCGTTAAACTGATACAAATTTGATCTCATACAACCTCTCTCCTTCTGACTCAGGTTCAAGCCCAAGTTCAATATAAATTAATAGGAAGCCATGACTTCCTATTAAATGTCCTTCTGCCTGTCATTATAACATACTGTTTGGGGTTTGTTTTTTTTGCACTTTAACATACTACCTCCCATGTATCACCTCCGAGGAGAAAATGTGAACTTCATTTTTTGGAGTCAATCTCTAAAGATTGATTGTGTGCCGGCCAAAATAAACAGATCCTACAATTCGGAGCACGGGGGTGGTGAGCTCGATACACTGTCCATTAACCAGATCACGTCAATTCCCTCAGTCTTTCCTTTGCTGTTGTTATGCTGATCCATCCGGCTTCCACTCAACTAGCGCTTTCCCACTTCTTGCTGTCGACAGTTGTAGAACCCAACCGTCACATGTTCTTCCACTTCCTTCCAAAGTTCCAAAACCCACCTCCAAGGCTCATCTCAAATGGTGCTCCTGTCCTCCACTAAGTCCCTTATCCTGACCAGTTCTGATCTCATTCTCCTTTTAGTCCTCTTTTATTCTCTTTAGATGGTTGGGAGACTTTGACATGTGTCGCAATAAACTGTCGAGGCTGTAAATCTTTTCAACTTGAGTTGCTTGATTCCGACTCTCGCTATACAGAGACACGAGAACAACAGGTTCTCAATCACAGAGCTCTGCTGTGACCAGCTCGCACCTGTGGACCCCGGGAGCTACTGTTGAACGCCTCGACCAAGTCCATCCTCTGCTTGGGGCTGACCGAGCCATCGATGGTAGCATAAGTCAGTCCGTGCCGCCTGAGGTGCAGTGCTACAACTTTCAGCATGCTGGCCCACTGGGAAACAATGACACTGGAAGGAAGAGAAGCCGAAACCAGGTTAAATTAACCATCTGCGGGCTCTATGGCTCTCTTAGTCCTCAGACTTCAGTCGTCATGGGATAGAGGACAGAGGCCTTCCATGACCTAAGGGAACACGATCCGCACTTTGGTACATTAGGAGACGAAGAAGCGACCGGTTATTTCTAGATCCAGCCTACGCTTTTCCTTTTAGTAGACGAAACCAAGTCAGAGTAAAGTGGGGGTCAAACTAAAACAGCCACCGCAGCCTTCTACTAAGTGGGGGCCTCGTGCTCATCCAGAGACCTGTGGCCGTATGATCAAGGGGTACAGGACAACCCAAGCTTCCAGGCTCCTCTACTCACCGTGTCCCCAGCCAGGTTTTGACTTCTGTTTCATTTTGGATGGAAACGTTTCATACATCTACATGCAGATATATAACATATGTGTGTGTGTGTGTGTGGACACCATCAACAGAACTTCTGAAGCCTCATCTGATCACCTCTCTCCCGTCCTTGAGCATTTTCCATTCCTCTGCCTTTCTTTGGCCGTGCTTCTAATTTTCAACGTTTCTTCAGATGCCTAGCTTACTCAGAACCTCAGAGATCCTTCCTGGTCTACAGGAAAGAATGTATTTGTTAGAAATCCAGGGGCATCTGTGCTGTCACCTGAGCAGGACTCAAAGTGCTCACCACAAAGGCTGAGGTTAGTGACCAGCAGCAGCAGCAGCAGCAGCAGCAGCAGCAGCAGGCTACTTATCTGGTGCAGCGATCACAGAAACAGTGCACGTTCTCGGCTCTAGGGAAGGGCTTTCTTTCTGCATCAGCTCTGTGGAAGGTCCCGGTCACCACACTGTGGCTTGGCATCTCTCTTCCCAAACCCTTGCTTGCTCACTGGCCTGTTTAATCTCTTGTATATCTCAAAAGAGATGGACGTAAGCCACACCCTCCACCCACCTGGTCTCAACAACACAGACAACCTATTCCCTGGGATTATAACCACAGGCCTGGAGCTTAGGGTTTACAGCCCCTGTGTGTTTTTGAGGGACACAAGTCAGTCCATAACAAACAGCATCAAATTCTTAATTACAAGCAATTCTCAGAAAATGAAACCACGCATTCACCTCTTCTGTGACTCTGAATTTCTTCGGATTGTCTCCAGTTCTGCCAGCAGCGATGAGATCTGGGAAAAGGTGACACAGCGCATGTACGTTTAAGCAAATTCACTTTCCTCATCTTCTCCGACCCGCATCACTGCTCGGTCTCCTGGACGGCCTCTCTGCTTCTGGTGCCGCCCTCGGCTCAGGTCCGCTCCCTCTGCAGCCAGAGGGCTGTTTCTAAAATGCATGTTTGGCCATTTATTTCTGGGCTGAAGCCCTTCAGTGGCTGCCTACTGAGGATAAACTCTAAACTCTTTACAATGACCTGCCAGGGCCTGGCGGCCTGGCGCCCTGGGGTCGTCCCCCGCCCATCCCCTTACTTCTCTGGACCCACCTCTCCCCAGGGCCTCCTCCTCACTTGATGCTCTGATGATAGCCACAGGGTACCCGCATCTTTCTCCAACCTATGCCCTCTGCCTGGAGGGCCACAACACCACAGCTTCCTGTCACTTCTTCTCGGAGGTCCTCCCCAGCCTCCAAAGCAGGGGTGAGGCCCGCCCGTCCACCGCCCACGTGCTACCACAGAGCCTTTGTTTCCACTAGCCTGGTCCTTATCACACGGGGAAACAGGGATGTAAAGGTAATGAACGCTTCCCACAAACTTCCTGAAGCCCTCCCCCTCACTATTCACCTCTTGCTCTCACTACCGGAGGGGCGCCATCCAAGGAGACAGGGACTGTGTCGGCTCGCTGAGGACTGTTCCCCAGGCAAGCATCACCATTTTCAAAAGGTCCAAGTATAAGCCCTTTGCCCACTTTAAAGGCCCTGCTCCAGATGTTGTTGAAGACGAGGCTTCTACACAGAAGAACACTCGCTAAAACTTCCAAACAAGCTCTCAGGATACTTACCAAAAGCCCCCAAAGTATGACATCCTCCCTACCCCTTGTTCTCTCCTTCAGAGCTTTCCCAAATTGACAGCTCACGCATTAGCCCCTGTCCTTAACATACACCGGCGGGGCTCCTTTCCCAGCAATCCATGACAGCACCTCTGCTTTGTGCTGGGGCTGTACCACATCACTCTCTGAAAGCCCACCTGACCACAAGGCTGCGGTTTCTTCATGAGATCAAATGAGGCTGTAAGACTAGAGGGAGAGTCTGACCAGCTGAAACCTAACACCAGCTTGGACACATGAAGGCTCCTCACACAGGAACACAGGACAAAATCCAAGTGTCTACTGGGCCAGAGGTGACCAAAGTACCTTCGTGCTCTCTCGGGTGTCTTTGAACAGCTCCACCTTGAAGGAGATGCCATGAAGGCAGACCGTGGACGATGGCTCCGGGCTGTGGAGCTCCGACAGGGTCAGTGCACTGAGCTGCTCTTCCAGGGAGAGGGCGAGGCCGTCGCCCTGCAGCTCTGTCGGATCCAGGGCCTGGGCAGGAGAGAGAAAGGGGATGGCAGCCGCCGGGAAGTTCAAAGTGCTACGGCTTGCTGACGGAGTGCTGACTGCTTAACACTTTAAACAGCAAAACGTGCTGTAACTCATCATCCGGGACTCCGCAGAGAGTCCTGATTAAAGGGTAAATTTGTAAGGATTTTTGTTTATTTTCTCCTAACTACACTAAAGATAAACAATGATAGGTTTTTAAAATAGATTTTCTAGGTAGACTCACCATGCTGATGGTATTGTTCCCACCTGGAACCAGACAGTTCAGCTATTCTGCTTTACCACAGATCCTCAGAAGTGGAACCCTCTCCCTGAACCATGGAGATGGGCCTCTCTCCAGTGTCAGGCACCTTTTCAGCTTGTATAAACGCCTGAGTTGTCGCACTTAGACTTGAAAGTCCCAGTACTAAAGGTAAGACTAGAAGTGTGTTACAGGGTAAATGAGGTACGAGGGGCAAATGAGTGGTAAAAGCTCGTGGAACGGGGGATGAAAGAGAATGGACTTTGCCGTGGGCCTTCGAAGCCCCTCGTAGACATGATTAGTGAAGTAACAACAAGACGGGGAGGAGAGGAATGATACTGCTGGAGCTTCTCCTATACGTTGCTGACGTTAAGGTGGTACTACTTTAACTGAGAGTGTAATGGTACAGACTCAAGTGTAATATCCATGGTAATTCATAAGAAAACATATACGCGACATACAGAAAAGAAGAAAGCCCGACAGGCTCACTCCCATAAATCAAC